GAGCTAATGAAATCAAGCCCATGAGGCGTAGCCCAAGAGAAATGTGAAAATTAAATGATATAATATCGCATTGTCATCCATTTGTGAGCTATGTTTCAAATTTCAAGTCTCTAGCTCACCGGGAAGTATAGCGATTTTATTATTATGATTTTATTTGCAAGAAAGTGAGTTAATAAAAACAAGCTCATGGGGCGTAGCCCAAGGGAAATATGAAAATTAAATGATATAATATTGCATTGTCTTCCATTTGTGAGCTATATTTCAAGTTTCAAGTCTCTAGCTCATAGGGAAGTTAGTATAAAATTGATTGCAAAATCTGTACCGGACAAGAAAGCGAGCTAAAAAAACGTTTTAATGATAAAATCACTAGTCATAACCTCTAAGAGAGGTTATGTTTTTGTTTATAACCACTCATTGCTAAATACAGTATAATCAGCCGATTGATGTCCGGTAAAACTCATTACAGTGCAGCAGTGCGCAATGAAACCCCATTTGAATAACTGGCGGCAAACAGCTGTTTTCTGGACTAAATCCTTGCGTGGGGGGTTCGTCAAAATAATGTAGTGTAGCGTAAACAAATTTCGCATATTCTTTTCATATCTAACTAGCTTACCCCGTCGTGGTTTTGCTCACGAAAATTTATGTAAAACATAAGTGACCACGTTAAACTAAGAGAGAACTTCTTCATTTACAGCTTGATCGTCTACCAGGAGCTTCGGACTGATGCCACTCTGAAACAACCTACATAATAATTCTGGCCAGAAAACAATGACCTAATAGTCCAATAGTATTTTCAGATCTCTCATAACTTTATTGGAAAGTTTTATGTATCTTAAAGTAATATTAAGTAACATAATCACCTTGCACGATGTTTTTTGTGGTTCTTATAACCCTCAAAGGCCCGAAACAGTGGCTGGTCTACAGCCGGGCTATATAGCCCCGAGTCTACAGTGTCTATGATGTTTTTACTAAGCGAAATGTAGGCCTACTCACACAAGAGTGGTTTTCCTAACCTCTCGTTAAAGGAATTATTAACACTCGATATTATGCATACATTTCTATACGAAAACAACCATAAATAGCTAATACTTGTTACATAATTCGAAAAAAAATAACGTGAACTAGGATTGTAAAGCAAAATAGTTATCTGAAATTGCATGATTGTGCCATCTTTATTAGCCTAGGGATGGACGCGATTGAACTTATCAAGTACTTCTGATCTTCTCTCTTGAGCACCCATTATAAATAATCATAAAGTAGTGATAGAGGAGGTTGACACCTTCCTTTAAAGTACAGTATTAGATGAAAATCGGTTGTAAATTATCGTTCCTTTCACATTAATAAATTCTTAACACATAAAATAATATGCTTTTTTTTAGAAACAGAAACAAATTTAGTGTACATATCTTGATTTTTATTTGCTCCCCCTATACATAGTAAATGGAGAAAGTAATGTTTTCGTCGAAATTTTCGAGTTTGAGGTTTGAGTTTTGAGTGGATATATCCGTTTTGGCCCCTCCTGAACCCAAAAAAGTGGTCTTCGAAGTGATGTCTGTGTGTGTGTGTGTGTGTGTGTGTGTGTGTGTGAGTGTGCGTGTGTGTGGATGTGTGGATGTGTACATAGCTGCAGACCACACCTGTAGTCCGATTTTAATGGAATTTGGTATGTAGGTACTAGTCCATCGTATCTCCAGGAATTTCTTTCCAATTTTTCGAAACTTTGTTTTTTAATGGCGATTTTTCCATAAATTAACGGAAAATAGTATATTTTCGTAAATGGCACGAACGATTTTGATAAACGTTATAGTCCTTGAAATTCTGAACAAAATAATAGAAAATCACATTTCCGTAAAAATTACGGATCTAAAGTTATTGCAACTTATGTTATTTTTTTATAAAAACCCCATAAAATAACAAAAAATCTGATTTACAAAAAGACCGTTTTCGACTAAAATTCATGGTCCTTTGATTTTTTAACAAAATGGTTCAAATCCCATTTCCGTAAAGGTTACGGATTTATGGTCCTAAAAATGAATCTATTATGGTCCTTATAATTTCTAAACAAAATAGCAATCAAATATGCAATCCCCCATTGATATCGTTGCTGTAACAATTATAGTTCAAAGATTATAATGCAACTTTTGTGATTTTTTCCCTGTAGAATATCATAGTTATTCCCACCACTTACCAATGATAAAAGTTGTCGAGAAGCTAATGGGAGAAAGTATGTGTCAGGTTGCTGATACAGTTTATTAAATTTGTTTAACGATTACAAAAAGTGTTATGCAGTAAAACACCAAATTTCAAGCCATAAAATAATTTAAACATTTTTGTTTTTTCTGCCCCTGAGCTATAAGACTTAATAAATGGTTTTAAGACGTCCTCCTGCCGCCGATAACCGTGACGGGCCCGTTCGATGGATTGATCTCGTTCGTAATATGTTTTATACTTGTTCGTGTTTAAATTTATGTGTTTTTTACGTCCTGTATTGTTTTTATAAACTTTTTAACGACGTCAATTTGACCGATATGTGAGCAAGAAGTTATCCTGCTGACTTACGTGATCATGGTGCAACACAGCATCGAAACCTGGTTGTAGAGTTTTAACGACCATTTGAGCTACTGATAAAGGTAACTTAAAACCATTCATAAAATAATGCAAAGATTTTTATTTAAATTAAATAAATACAGTACAATCAACCGGCTTTTAATAGTATAACATTCAAAAATATTCATCCGTGGAAATGTAAACAAATCTTTTATCTATAAGGATAACACTGGAACTTTAGAGGTCACTGGGGCAGAGCCCTGATGGAAATTCTTGAAAACGCTTCTTATTGCACACCTAGAGCCTAATTAGAATCTCGATGCCAATTCCTGAGTTCTTATGGCTAGTAGATTTTGAAAAACTGTGATCAGTGAGTGGTATTCGACTTTTATAAGTATAGATTACAGTGAATACCGGAGGTAGTTTTCGTTCTAACTATCCGTTCTAGTTCTTAATTATCACCTTTAACCCACTGAATGTTTAAATAGGCCTATTCGGATAGGATGTGTAGTCAATCATACCTTTAGAAGGAATGCCGATGCCACCAAATAAACTTACACTATGAGTAGTTTAAATATTTATGTTGTATCAGACACAGATCTATGGTTAAGTTTGGTCAATGAGGCCTTTACACTGATTTTGTTAAACCTTTACAAAAAGAGTCTAAAAAGAAATAATAAATGAGTCAGGGTGCTAGTTAAGTGACTTTTACCAAGATCTAAGCATTATCTCAACATACAAACATACAAATATGCCTTTTCATATTTCACAATGCCAATTTCTGAAAATCGAATTCCAATCAGGGAAGTCTTTTTTTATTATCATTAGCTACAAGACCTTAGAAAATCAGTATTTATTCACAAACCATTAATAATTATGTTTGCTGCCTTTAGAAGAGTTAAAACTCTGGGATAATTTAAATTATTGATTTGGAATGACATCAACAAAAGCAAACCAAGAGACTGTTTTTACACAAAAGAATATGGTGTACAGGGTTATCTTATCCATCCTGACACATAAATAACATTACAATAATTTTTTCACATTGGACCGTTTTAGGGCCTTATGTTCAGTTCTTTCACCTAATATTTTTTCTTTAGCCTGTTTAGAACAGCTGATGATATAAAAATGATTAATAATATTGTAAAAATAATTATTCCTTTCTGTTCTTCTTGTAAACATGGTTTACTATTTTTTTTTCTCTCTTAATATTTCATTTTTATTCACAAACACTCCACACCTTATGTCCCTACAATCCACTAGTTATTATGAAACCAGTAAATCTATCGATAACTAGACTTGTGTTATTTGTATTAAACATATGAAAACTATATAAGGATTATTTACATTGTAACTTTCTTATAAATAGGGTAATGAGGAAATCGGCCAATACATCCAAGCAAGTCTTTGTAGGCCAACGTTTAAAACCTCGTAGGTTTAATTTTAATCTTATGGACAAGTTTTCCTTCAAACTTAATAATAGCTTTCAATAAAACACATAACTGTAACTAGTCTATGCTTCGTTCAAAGGTTAGATATTACTGAATGGCAATGGGGCGTTTGATCTGCTTTACAGTAAAACAACATCAGCATTATTCGTAACATATACATAGACGGTCGCTAACATCATGCTATACAACGTTTTACTGCATGTACGGGACTACCAAAGTCATTATCATTGATATAAATGCCCCTACTTCATGATCTGTAATGCGTTTACTGGAAGTCAGATTTTCTGTTTAAATTCATTACTTCCACAAAAATACTAACATTTCGTTGAATTTTGTAAGACGATATGTTATAAGAATTGTCCAGAATATTCATCTTTCAGATACACATTGAATATCATTTACTTGTTTTGTTTTTATTTTCTCCGAGTAAAATATATAGCCTAACTACAAAATCAATATAATATAACAATGCACAGAAGTGTATGATAAATCACAAACTAATTCTAAAAGATTACTTAAAAATAATTTATTTCCAAATAATTGTTTTGTTTACAAAGTTTGCGTATTCGTTGCCTGTCCATTATAAATTACTCTAGAACAATATATTGCAAACATATGTATCGGACGAGATTAGGTGCAAGAAAATACATCGCAAACCAGTGTCTGTTGTTACGTGGAAAGAGAAATAAATACAATAAATACATATCTTACGTTATATATATATAAACTAACTTACTATCTTAAGCAAATAAATACAAAAATGATGTTCTATTATACTGTAAAATAATCGTATAACAAGTCATGTTCTAGTTATCAAACGCATTTACTTTAATTACGTAATATTCCTACCCACGTACCTATTACCGTACCTTGCTTAGTTAGTTTTATGGCTCGATAATACCAGCAGAATTAGTCCTGTGGCCAAGTTCTCCGAGGGGAGGTGTAATGCGATAAGCGCCGCGGCGCGGTATATAACGCGCGACACCGCGACCGCCCCAGCACAAGTCACTCGACGCCCGCCCCAGCGCCACACAGCACGCCATCCCTCACAGACACTCGTACGCAACTATCTACCACGTTTTCTTTTCTTTCGTAGTTTTCAGTTGAGGTAGCGCCATGCTCCTAGTCCTGTGTATGGCAGCGCTACTCACCGCCCCCCTAGCTCAGGCCCGCCCTTACAGGTAAAATACAAACTGAACTCATCACAATGTATACATTAGTTAAGTAGACTTGTAAGCTACTATTTGTGGAGTAAGTTTATTCAATTATTTATAGGTATTGTTAATTCGTTTTAAGATATTGGTTTTCAATAAGAATCAAACAAATATCTTAAGTTCGTTGTTTTTTTTCATTAACTAGCAGCAAAACCCGGCGTTGCCTGGGTCAAAATATAATTCGCAATAATGGTAATAAAATATGTTTTTGATTGGGTAATATGTACAGTATCTTGAACTTAACAAATTCAAACTTCCAATGCCTCAAATTAATGCATTTACTTCTAGGGATATTTGAAGACCAAGACATATAAAATAACTAAAATAAAAATAGAGTTGTGTTATCAACTGCAAACAAGTTATAATTATTTTTGGTCCGATCTTAAATAATCGATAGGTCAAATGAAATCTGGTATTTCACTGAAGATTATTAGACCAAAACGTAGGCCTATAGGATTATGTAATTAACACTAGTGAAATACATATTTAATTGAAGTGAGAATTTAAAAAATCACATTTATGTGTTTTGGTCGGGTAATACAATAGATAAATTAATGGTGATGCTTGATGGCAAATCTGTGCGTGCATACCTTTAAATTAAGACCAAAATTGTGAAAATCGGTTGGTTACAAGAGCCAAACGAACTCGGAAAAGAAAAAAACCAAATTCTATAATTAATTAAGAAATGTACAGGAAAGAGGTTGTTTTTGTGCGTAACCCGAAATATTAATCAGATAAATGAAATGGATGGTGATGCTTGATGGCAATTCTGTGCTTGCATTCCTTTAATTTAAAAACAAAATTATGAAAATCGGTTGGGAAGGGAGAGCCAAACCTACTCAGAAAAGAAAAAAAACTATATTTTTAAATATATAGATTAAGTGATGAGTAAAATGTATTAATGTTATAAATTCAGTATGCCAAAAATAAATATTTTACTAGTATATATAAATTATTTAATTAGTTCTCATCCCCAATAAAATATATTATCAGTTAAGTTAAAAACATCATCACTAAAGTAGACTTGTTTTGTTACTATATGTAAAAGCAATCCATTTGTACCTACCTATAAGCAGGTTACGAAATAGATTTTATATTAAGGATTAAATTTAGTTTGAATTCTTAAGTAGTAACTTAATAAGTTGAGCTGTTATTTTAAAAACAAGAACGGTAAATATAATTTTTCTCAGCGCTCACTCGTTATTTCCCCTTCCAATAAACTTATAGCGTCCAGTATAAAACTGCCTTTTAAAAGTGGATTTGTTCTGTTAGCCTACTGTATTTAAATGAAAGCAACTCTATATGTTGGTTACTGTTGTACGATGATAATTTATTTAAACATTCAAAACGCAGTGAAAAATCGATTCATATTTATTACAATCCTACTAAAGATTTACAATAAATTTGTTTAGTAACGCATACTAGTAATGACTAGTAATTTTAGAGTTAAGAAAGAGACTGAGTACATTATAATTTGATGTTCCTAAAGTTATAGCCACCATAAAGTAAAATACCCCCGCTGCAGCAAACCTGCAGACTAAGCGAATTTCCATTTGACTGATTGGATTTACACTGAAATGTCTACTTAAAAATATAACATTTATTCTTGATTTAAATAGAATAAGTTTAACAAGTACTTAGGTTTGCTGCAACAGGGAGGGTAAAACTGATTTTTTTTGTAAAATGTGAATAGTTAGTAAGAAATAAAAACATTTTCCAAATTTGATCAAAATATGTTCACAAACAAGCAAACTACAACAGTTTACTTATTCTCCATAAGAATAACATGGGAATTTTAAATTTACAATTTTTTGGAATTTTCTCCGTAACCATTAGGCGCATAATAACGCTTCAGTATACTAAATTATTTGTTTTTTTAAGCTCTACAAAATGGTTTGGAAAGAAATTGCTAAATTTTATGTTTTTTGGGTCAAAAATTAGAAAAACCTATTTTTACCCCATAAAACCCCCCGTAAACCCCCGTTCCCATGGTCCGATCATGCTGGATTGCGAACTCGTTCGAATAAACGTACTTTTACACGTTTGTACCAATTTTCATCAAAATCGGATCATTTTTGCTCGAGTTATCGTGCTGACGGACACATATATATATATATATATAAATATATATATATAAATATATATATATATAAATATATATATATATATATATGAATTTGAACGGATGGTGTTTTTCGCCTCTAGGGACCTCAAAACGAAAAAAAAAATCGGTCCCGCGTCCAGGTCTTACCATGAGTACTACGGTAATAGCTTATTCCCTATATGGGAAATTCGCTAAAAGATTGAACAAAAACCAGTATATTTTGTTAAAAATACCCCTTGCAACAAACCTACATACTAAGCTAATTTCCACTTTTCTGATTACATTTTTATTAAATATTTCCTTAAACATGTCAGATTCATGCAAGATTCAATTACTATTTAAATAACAGTATGTTTAACGAGTACCTGGGTTTGCTGCTACAGGGGCGGTAATAAGTGTGTTTTAGTACGCTTAGCAGGCTTAAATAAATTGCACACCGGAAACAAACTTGTACTGGAAATAATTATAGTATATTTCATAACAAGAGTAGAACGTGAGTTATTACATATTTGAGACCATATGTTTCAGTGCGAGTTATCGAACACTTTATATGGTCAAGAATGTATAGACCCACTTTCCTACTAGACCACTAAATTTTGAACGTTACTTTGCGCTACACTACAAAGACTAATTATTTTCTTAATTAAAACAGACATTGGATATTTCTTTATTGCAGTTAGGGACATTACAAAATCATAGCATTTTTTAGGTTGGTTGTGCAGTTTTGGTTGTTGAAAATTGAAACAGTTGATAAAACAATAACAAGTATTTGTTTGTTTACGTCGGCAAAATACAAGAAAGATAGTAAACATTACTTTCGCATGGTAAACATTCTTTTGCCATAGTAAACAATGTAATGATGGATGTTCGCAAGTGATAAATTGCAACGAAAACATGTAATTTCACAGTAGTGTAGCGAAAAATAAATTTTAATTTATTAACTTTATTAATATGTATCAATAAACAATCAAACTAGAATAGATTATTTATTCTCATTAAAATCGCATGGGAATTTTAAATTTACATCTTGTTTTTTTCAATTCAAAAGTACGGAAACGGCATTTTATTTCTAGCATCATTGCAAATAATACGATAGAGGTTTTTCACATATACACAATTACAAACCCTGAAATTTGCAATTTTTAAACAAATGACATACAGAGTCGCAAACCTGATCTCAAATGGTTCATTGCAGCCAAAATTACGATTTTAGTCTTGTTGGATGGACGGAATTTTGTCAACCGTTGGTGATAGTGAAACAACTTTATCACATAAGTACTGTAACTACTTTAAGATTTACTTTTTGAAGATCATTTATTTTTTCCCTCCCAGCTAAATTAGGAATCGGTCTCCGCCTATAGACTCGTTTGATGCAAACCAGACCCAAAAAGGCGGTTCGTCCCAGATTAAATTCATCCCAGCCAAAACGGATGCTGGTTAAAATTACAAGGAGTAAGTAGATTTGTTCAACAAGTTCCAGTTCGTAATTTTAAACCACCGCTGTGTTTGTTAGAGGTGTTAGGTATAGAGGGATTTGCGGTACCTTGTACTTCCAGTAGATACTTAATCAAGCTATCTACTACTTGACCTCTTCTCTCGTTAAAGATTTCCTTCCGATTTCTTTTGGAATTTTAAAATGTAAAAAGTATATACCATTTAACCCCCCCCCTCCTCAAATCAAACCCCCTATTACTTTTGCATCAAAACATTTCAGTTGAATTTGACTACAAATGCATATTTAACTACCTTTTTATTATTGGCATTTTACTTAGTACAGGATTAATCAGTAACATATTTTCTCCGAGGAAATTTCCACAATCACCTAACCAGAAAAAAGCCTAGGGTCGGAGCCCCCAGTGATCCAAAGGCGAATAAGTAGATTTTTAAGTACAGTATTTATTTGCAACACTGTTTCATTAAATGCTTTTGATTCAAAAAATAAAATGCCGTTACCGAATTTTTGGCCACAGGAGGAGGACACAGTTTGATAAAATTTGCTACTTTAAATTTACAATATACTTTCGTATTACACATCTAAAATAGCCATTATGTTTTACCGCTTCACCCAAACAATAAAAAAAAAAAGATTTGAAAAATACAAATTATTCATGAAATTAAAAACATAAAAATAACTGTAAACAATCCGACATTGACAGTTCTCATTGTTTATCACAGTCTTTTGTTGCTGCTTAGTTCAAATTAGCTGTTTTCATAAATGCAAACAAATATAAGTGCTGCACCCTTGGTAAAACTTATAACTTTTTAATGCTTTTTTATATCTTAGAACCAACTTTGTAGTTGAACTAGCTGACTAAATTCCACAATATTTATCAATGTAGGGAGTTTAAACTCTTAATGAAATTTGCACGCCAAGTTAATTCTACGATAAACGTTCGGATTCACTGATAAAAATGAGTGTTAATAAACGGTATCAGCATTCTGACACATACTTTCTCCCATAAGTTTGTCAACAACCTTTATCATGTGTAAGTGGTGAGTGTAAATATACGCAAATGGGATTTGTACAATATTGTTCAGAATTTAAAGGACAATAAACATAAAAAAACACACATACAAAACATTTTATCATATCAAACCAATAGGCCAATAGGTAGCATGTTCTATATGACATGCTAAATTTTTATCAAAATCGTTCGGGCAATTTTTGGGAAATCCGATTTTTCTGTTATTTTATTGGGGTTTTATGGGAAAATGACATAATTTACAATAACTTTTGAACCGTAATTTTTACAGAAATGGGATTTGTACCATTTTGTTCAGAATATAAAGGACTATAACATACTAAATTTTTAACAAAATCGTTCGGGCCATTTTTGGGAAAATCATATTTTTCCGTTATTTT